CGTATCAGTTGCCCCTTATTTTAGACAATATCAATTTCGTCATCCGAAAATATTAAAATTCAAAGCACTTTATATTTATTATCACATTATTTATAAAGTCATTTAATGTATTATATATAAATACATTTAGTGTCAAATATGATTAGGTTAGTGGAACTCGTTCTCTTGTTTGCGTATTCGTGAGGTTCGAATCCCTTCATATACAAGTTAAGAGATATATATATATATATATATATATATATATATATAATGATTTGAAAAGTAATTTAAGTATATTTAACTTATAATAATTAAAGAAGAGAATATGAGAGAGTTTTTTTAAATACCTGAAACGGTTTTTATTTATTATTTTTAAATGGATTGCATTAAACTTTTTTTTATATGAATTTCTTTTTAAGGCGGAAGCAAAAGGCCAAAATTTGGAAGACGAAGGATAATAGATTTAATGCAAATTACAGTTTTTTTTAAACAGCTGTCCCTCTTTTATTTAAGGGAATTTTTATTTTTTTCTTATTTTTTTATTTGAAATAAGGAAGTCGAAAGGGCATAAGATAAAAACTAAAATGAAACACAGATTTTTTTTAAATTTTTTTTATAATCAAACTGTTTTTAAAGTTATGACTCATCTTAAGCCTATAAATAGAGGTCATTGATGAGGGGAATAATCACAAGTGAGGAGAATTAGAAGACGAAAAAAAGAGAGAGAGTGGAGAGTGTAGTCTTTTGCTAGCGAGATTTTTCAGAAAAAGAAATCGTCATCGTCCTACGTAATAGGCAAGTAACAAGATTTTCTTTCACGTTGGGGCCAAGAGGAAAGTCGTCACCGTTATGCATAGCAGGCGAGCAACGAGATCTTTTTTCATGTTGCGATGAAGAGAAAAGTCATCCCCATCTTGCGTAGCAGAAGAACAACGGTATCTTCGTTCGTATTGCAGCAAAGAGAAAAGTAATCTCTGTCCTGCGTAAGAAACGAGCAAGGAGATCTTCTTTCGTGTTGCGGCAAAGAGGAATGTGGTCGTCCTGCGTAGCCGACGAGCAAGAAGATCTTTTTTCATGTTGCACCTAAGAGGAAATTCATCTCCGTCCTGAGGAACTTTTTTTGTGTTGTGATCAAGAGGAAAGTAGTCCTTGTCTTGCATAATAGAAAAGAAACTATTTATTTCATTTCGCGATGAAGACGAAAGTCGTCTTTTTTCTGCATAGCAGGGGCGCAACGGAATCATTTTTCGCCTTACAGTGTAGAGTAAAGTCATCATCGTCATATGTAGAAGATAAGCAACGATATATTCTTTCACATTATGGTGGAGAAGAAAAATATCCCCATCCTGCGTTTCAGGCGATAAACGGGAACTTCTTTCATGCTGATGTCGCACATTACATAGGAGAATTCCATGTCGCACTTGCACATTCTAGAGGTGATGAAGAAATATTGTATTTTTCCTGCCGCGCTTTGAGAAGAAAACATTAATGCTTGTGTGGTGGCGATATCTGGAAAATATCGTTCTCCTGAAGATCAACAGAAGCGCCAAAATTTTGAAGAGGCATCCACCACCAATTGAAGATGAGTCAATCTATTGTAGTCTTTGTACCAGTTATTGTTGATCTTTAAGGTCATTTAATTCATCTAATGTGACATTTGGAGATGATAATAATATTTTTTTTTTTAAATTTTCTTCCGAGATTGTTGTGGTTTCTTAATCGTGCAAAATTCTGTAATTAAAATTAGCACACAAACTTTATAAAATAGAGAATTGCATACCAACGAGTAAGTCTATGAGTGACAAGTCATCCGGGGCACTTAATAAAGCATAAAATTCTCTGCTAATCAAGGTTGGCTAAGCTTTCATCGAATCTCCGAGAACCTCTTAGACAAAACAATCCATAATTATTGACAAAGATCCTCTAGTCAAGTTAGTGGACTACGATCTCTTGCTAAATATAGTAGAGTCCATTGCAAACCTAAGATTATATAATCAATTCCTCCATTATCTCCACTAAGTCTAGGAGCAACACCTTCTCTTCCTTAAATCATCATGAAAAGCTAAATCATACGTGAAGCCATTATAAAGCTAAAAGATTAGCCTAAATCAAAAGTTCTCTCCCATAATAAAAAAGAGTAATTAATTACAAAGACTTACAAATTAGGAATATTAAGTTCCCAAATTAAGTTGAAATATAAAGATGGTGTTTTATCTCTACTTAATACACCTCTTGAAAAATTATCCAAATTTATACTCGTCAAATTCAAATGAGCTCTTCAAAGCCCACCATACTTTTGAATGGTTTGGTAAAAAACAGTTATAATAGCAACTAAATTGAGCAACATCTCCAAGCAAAGCAAAGCAAGACAAAAAAACTATAAAAATAAAAAAAAATAAAGATTGGAAGTGATGGAATTGAAAAAAATAAGCCGAACAGAGATAAAAAAAAAAACAAAGGAATGTTTAGAACAGTACAATTCCATTTCAATTTCACTCAATTACCTTGCTAATTTCAATGAAGCTCAAAGGTGAGGCTATCTCGCAAGAAAAACAAGAGATCCATGTCAAGTTTGTTCTAATTTGCAATGATATATTGTCAATTCTGTAAAGGATACACGAGTCTATCCATCTAAATGGATCATCTCCATTGATTTAACAGAAATGTAGAGATATACGCTCTGCTTCGCCTATTCAGTAAAGCTCTTCAATCCTTTTTGTATTGCATCGCCATTCCCATTATTAACCCCTACTATTATCAAACTTATTGCACAATTCGAATTGGATACATTTGAAATGTATCTCATTTTAATATAAAACAAATGAGCTAGAAAAAAAAGGATTCTCAAATATTTCTTCTCCTCGATTATTTCATGAAATTGAGACCATACTTCAAGAAATGAACGGGTTATAACAAAGTCGAGCCAAATTACCAATGAAAATAGGCTGTCAAAGCTAATCAACATTCTGATTTCGCAGATATCACCAACTGTTAGAAAGAGGACAATTTCGATAACACAATCAAGATTCAAACAGAATGAATAAAAAAAATGGTACAATATTTCTAATTTTTATTGCACTAAAGACTCCGAATCACCAAAATCATCTATGAAAAATCATCAATATAGTTTCCATTGTATTGTACTCAAAGCAGAAATCAGTTACCGATCATAAAAAAGTTCAAACAGATACGCCCCTCAAAATCTTTTATAGTAGTCGATTTAATTTTCGCTCCCTGCTGTCCGACGCCACGCTTTTGCGTCGGATTGAGAAGGTTTCATATAAAAGAAAAGAAAACAAAAACAATGGCACACCTTGCACTGAAGGCATGGTGTAAACTCCATATTGCATTCTCTCAGCGTTCTGTAAGCCGACCTATGGCTTCGTCCCACGGTTATATTTCTCTTACATAGATTTGTTCTTTGTAAAAACTAGCATTAAAAATTATAAATCAATACAACATATGATATTTAAAGTGGCATTTTTCATGGTGTATGTCTCAATTTGTGATTATAAGAAGCATGCATCTTTAAATTGTCAAAAATAGAAGAGCCCGCTACAACATAATACTACATAAATGACTCTTAATTCAAATCTCTCCCATGGGGATGTCACTCACATTGGAGGATGGGATGAAGACACGTGGAAAAGGGGTGAGTAATGCTTTAGTTATCATATGAGTAATGACACCCTGTAAGAGAATATTTATGAATCATTTATACTTATAATAGATAATTAATTAGTTGAAATAATTAATTATAATTATTGCATGCTAAAAAAATATGGCGGTAGAGAATGAGATTATTATCTTAACATTACACGAATATTCAACATACATGCATAAAAAAATAATTAAAAGATGAGACATAAATTTTATGATAATAAACCTATGAAAGAACAAAAAATGGATTGGGTTTGGCCCTGTCTTAATGATTCACAATATATTTAAAGCTGCATAAAATGATTGTATCTAGCCTAGCTAGAATAATCCATCATATATTTGAAGTTAAGAAAGACAGACAAACTTTCCTAAAAGATGAAGATAAGGTAACATAGTCTAGACTTAGTTAAAAATATCATATCATAATATAATAGTAATAATAATTGGGTTATAATAGCCGCAAAATAGTTGCTAGGCTACAAAAGCCAGAACATAATAGTTGAGCCACAAAAACAATCAGTAGTAGTTATTTATAATTTTTGAGAGTGACATTTTAATAAATTTATCCAAAATCTCATAAAACTCCATCAAATAGTTCATGTTGATTTCCTTAATCATGTCATTCTTTCAGCATTTAAGTGCACTAATGGCAATTGAATGATCTGACACTCACTATATTCTTCACATCGAGCCGCTTAATTCGATGATAAACATATCAAATTAATAGATTGTTTGGCTCTCATTTAATGTTTTAAAGCTTCCAATTATGTTACAAGTGTTAGATTTAAGCTCAATGGACTCATATTAAATTCCTTCTAATAACATTAGGTTCCTTATTTCACATTCAGTACTATAATTCAGAAATTACCACATCAAGCAATTTATCACATGAAGCCATTTACTAACCGGATTTATTTTTCACACGCCAACACGCTCACAATCACAAGACAACAAAACAAATCCAACGTCTACTTTTTCCCAGATGGTTTCATTTTCTTCTGCTTTAATAAAATAAAAAAGAGGAAAAAAGGTACACAGCAGAATAAATGCCAGCAGTAAATCCACACCTTTCGCCCAAAAAATGCAGATCTTGTCCGTTGGTTCAATTTATTCTGTTATTATGATTCCCGAAATGACAGATTTACCCATATGTAATATGCCATATAGTCAAATGCATCTATATAAATTACATAAAGTATAGGGTCTTTTTATCAACAACAAGGCCAGGACCCTTGGCCATAGAACTGACAGCGTCCCACGTGGATCCGACGTGTAGATATGACGTGGCCATTCCTCCCAGGTCCTACTCTGTTGTTGTTAAAGCCCACGCTCCTTTCTTGCTTCCAGTGCTAACGGTCGACTCACACAACCCTAGAAAGCTAAAGCAAATTCAATTTTTTTTATAGATCGCCGGAGAATTGGAGCTCGGTTGCAGGAAAAAATGGCGGAGGGCGGCGGGACAAAGCTAGTTGTGGAAGTATTGAATGCGCGGAACCTAATGCCCAAGGATGGGCAGGGAACGGCGAGCGCATACGTGATGGTGGACTTCGACGGACAACGCCGGCGAACAAAAACGAAGCACAGAGATCTTCACCCGATGTGGGAGGAGAAGCTTGAATTCGTCGTTCAAGACCCCGAATCTTTGGCTTCTCAGAACCTGGAACTCCACGTCTACCACGACAAGAAGAATGCCCGCAGGAATACTTTCCTCGGAAAGGTTAAGATCTCTGGTTCCAGCTTCGTGAAACAGGGAGATGACACGCTGACCTACTACCCGTTAGAAAAAAGGAGCGTTTTTTCGCAGGTTAAGGGTGAGATTGGTTTAAAGATCTACTACGTTGACGACGATCCTCCACAGCCAGTGGAGAAGGAGGAGACGGCGGAGAAACCGCCCGATGAGAAGGATGTAGAAGAATCTAAAGAAGAAGAGAAGCTTAAAACAGAACAGAAACCGCCTGAGGAGGACAAGGTGAAGCAGGAGGTGCAGGTGACAGTACTGCCATCTCCGACGACGCATTCGCATCATTCACGTTTCAATGACCTCGAAATCAAGCTTGCTGGCAGAGAGCGCGCCGCCGTTTCTTACGACCTAGTTGACCGTATCCCCTACCTGTTCGTCCGCATTTTAAAGGCAAACCACGCCAACAAGGAAGACGGCAAAGACGCTAAGGTCGATCGATTTGTTTTTGCTAAAATCGTGATCGGTAGTCATTCAGTCAAGACAAGAACAGTAACAGTGAGGTTAAACTCGTCGGAATGGGATCAAGTTTTCGCCTTTCATAAAGAGAGCCTCAATTCCGCATTTATAGAAATCTCCGTACACGAAGAGAGGAAAGACGGCGATGCTATCACTGAAGGCGCGAGTCTGGGCGCCGTTTCCTTCGACCTCTCAGAAATTCCGAAGCGCTCGCCGCCGGACAGTCCCCTCGCACCGCAATGGTACACTCTAGAAAGCTCCTCGCAGGAGTGTTCAGCAAACACAGACGTGATGCTTGCCATCTGGATCGGCACACAGGCCGACGAAGCGTTCCCCGAAGCATGGCAGTCCGATTCCGGCGGTTTCCTCATCCATACCCGCTCAAAAGCTTATCTATCTCCCAAACTATGGTACCTTCGTCTCACCGTCATCCAAACCCAAGATCTCCGTCTTCCCATCATCCCCGACTCAAAACCCCGCAACACTGAACTATTCGTCGTTGCCCAGCTCGGTAGTCAGGTTTTCAAAACAGCTACAGTCCCCCTCTGCTCCTCCTCCTCAACTGCCAGCCCTGGCTGGCACCAAGACCTCATCTTTATCGCCACCGAACCCTTCGATCCATTCCTCACCATCTCCGTCCATGACGCTATCGCCACTCAACCCGTCGGCAATGCAAAACTACACCTTTCCACCATCCACCGTCGCATCGACGAACGCGTAGAACCACCGTCCCTCTGGCTCAACCTCTCCGGCGACAAATCCCGCCCCTACGCCGGCCGCCTCCACGTTCGCGTCTGCCTTGAAGGCGGCTACCATGTCCTCGACGAAGCCGCTCATGCCTCCAGCGATGTACGAGCCACATCCAAGAAGCTCTCGAAGCCCCCGATCGGCCTTCTCGAAGTCGGCGTTCGGGGAGCCTCCAACCTCGTCCCTGTAAAGCTGGCCAAAGACGGCGCCTCCGGTTCAACCGATGCATACGTCGTCCTGAAGTACGGCCCAAAGTGGGCGCGAACTCGCACCATTCTCCATCAATTCAATCCTCGCTGGAACGAACAGTACACATGGGATGTCTTCGACCCCTGCACTACCCTCACCATCGCCGTCTTCGACAACTCTCGTGCTTCCGCCGCCGTTGCAAGTAAGCCGGCGAGAGATTCCCTTATCGGAAAACTCCGCGTTCGCCTCTCCACTCTCGATACCAACCGCGTTTACATCACCTCTTACCCGCTGACATTGCTGACTCAACATGGCGCGAAGAAAATGGGCGAGCTTGAGCTCGCCATTCGCTTCACCTGCAACTCCTGGTTCAGTTTGATCCAAACCTACACAACTCCGATGCTGCCACGTATGCACTACGTGCGTCCTCTTAGTACGGCGGAGCAGGACGTGCTCCGGCAAATTGCAGCGAAGGCGGTGGCGGGGCGGTTGGCGCGATCGGAGCCACCGCTGGGGCCGGAGGTGGTGCACCACATGCTTGACGCAGAGGCTTACAAGTGGAGCATTCGCCGGAGCAAGGCTAACGCCGGCGGCCTCTCGCACGCTGCGGCGGCGGCGCAGTGGCTCCAGGAACTTCGCACCTGGACCCACCCGACGACCACGGTTCTGGTTTATGCACTGGTTCTGGCGGCGGTGACCTGGCCGGGAATGATAATCTCTGCGGCGCTGCTGTTGGTCAGCGCGGCGGTGGCATGGAGGTACAGGAAACGAGCCGTCGGTTCGGGAGGAATGGACACGTGGCTGTCGTGCGTGGAACGGGTGGGGATTGATGAGCTGGACGAGGAGTTTGATGAGATACCGAGTGGGAGGACGGCGGAGGTGATACGGGAAAGGTACGATGGGCTGCGGCGGGTGGCGGGGAGAGTGCAGGGGTTGCTCGGTGACTTGGCGGGGCAAGGGGAGAGGTTGGAGGGGTTGCTGACGTGGAGGGACGGGGATGTTTGTTGCGGGGTGTGTGGCGGCGGCGGTGATGTTCTACGTTGTGCCGTTTAAGGTAGTGGTGTTGAGTTGGGTGTTTTATTATTTGCGGCATCCGAGGTTTCGGGGAGACATGCCGGCGGCGGGAGTTAATTTTTTCCGGCGTCTGCCGTCGATGGCGGATCGGATTCTTTGAGGGGAGGAGGGAAACTATTTTGATTTAATTTATTTTTTAATGTTTTGTTTTTCGGATAGTGTTTAATGTATTTTAGGTAATAATAATTAAGGAGCTTAATAATGTTCATTTGGAGAAGTAAGCATTATAGAGTTTGAACTATATTTTAATGATGGTTTATTTAATGCTTGGGTACGGATCACAGCTGATGACCGTTAGGTGCTATTCTTGTAGGAGGGTCGCGCGCTCTAAAGTTTTTTTTAAAAAAATTCATTTTCATTAATTTATTTCTAATACAGTGAGATTCAAGAATTTATAATCAAATATGCATTTAATTCTATATCTATAATTAGATAATATATGATTCAAGAGAAGAATAAACAAAAAAATAAATCAAATTTAATTTTGGTATAAATAAATGAGTTTATAGGCTTAATTTTTTAAATGAGTTTTCTAATTGTAAATTAAGTCGGTCAATATTAGTTTAGGAGAAATTGAGTTTGATTTGTGATGGCTCACAAAAAAGTACCTACATAAAGAAAGTTTGGGATGAAGCTATCTTTATTGCCACCCCCACTACATAGAATCATTACAACTTCTCACATCCCTGCTCAATGCAATCATTCATGGTGTTTATGGCTTTGGCTTTTTGGTATTTGTTGGGTTGCGTAAAATTACAAGGGGAGGAGAAATACTAATTAAATACATTAGTTATTTAAAAAGATTTAAATTTAAGAAAATTGTTAGCATTTATGATTTTATTTAAATACTAGACATAAGTATGTTTAATTAGTTTTTTTATTGTTAGCTCACAATTATTATGATCATAATTTATTCGAATTAGTACATTATCAAAATTAAAATACATTAATGATTAAATTTCAAAGTATATAATGAATTTATTATCAATTCTAAAACAACAATTTTGTTGAGTTTTAAGTGATTATATTATCCAATCATAAAATTATTTTATGTATCAATCCTTAATCAAAGTTTCCGATAAGAAGAACTTATCACGAGCTATAAATGATAATGTTCATGGTTATAAATATTAAAATCACGAAGCACCAAACTATTCAATCCAATTCATTAAACAATTAATTATATACAAAAATATAAAAGTTTTTTTTATTGATTAATTAAAGGATCATGAATAAACTCTAACTGAGCTAAATCACAAGTAACTTTGTCAAACATAATGCACGTTAGATTTAAATTTAACATTTAAGATTATGACAATTGCCGGCGTACAATTAATGATAGAATTTGTATGACAGCAAGTGAGCACAACAACTCGATTGATAATTTCTATGACAAAATGTATTAGGAGTTCACTAAAATATGAAAAGTAAAATTTGGTTCTATTCAAATGTTGTAAATATATTAAATTTAGAATGGGACTTGATGTAGATTACAATGAACTCGTTGAAATTTTACAGTCTAGAATTGCATGTCAGGAGCAATTTATATTGGGTCTCACAAGCTCATCAAGTTTAGTATATGGTATTATTGTCAATTGGATGTGAATGAAGTTAGGAGATCATGTAGACTATCAGGGGCGTAACCAGGGGGAGTGCAAATTGCTCCCAAGACCCGACGTGGGAGAGGCTGGAGCAACGAAGGGCAAAATAATATTTCAGGAGAGACAAAATTAAAATTTCAAGAGGGGGCAAAAGAATAAATTGCTCTCCCTTGAACCCTACATGGATCCAACCCTGCATACGGTCTATGCTGAGAGAGCAAAAATAAGATACTTTAGGCAATATAACAAGAGACCAACAGGATGATGATGAGCATAATGGAGGAATGTATTACAAAGAACAAATTTAATATATAAATTGGTGCTTTAATATTTCTATGTTCACTCATAATAGTGCGGTGTTAATATTGATTTATTATTGTTCTGAAATTTTTTTTTTTAATTAATGGACATATATGCGGTTGTATGTTCCAGTCATTTCATTATCATATTTGAAAAATGTATATTATGTGGTTCTACAATTATTGCTTTGTTTGTTTATGTATTGATCTCCAAGTGGTCTGAGGCTTGAAGACAATAACTTTGTTTTAGGGGGCCGACTTGGATGGGTAGCACGCATGGTCCTAACAGCTAATGATTTTGCAATCTAATTGGCCACAAATCATTCAGAAGTTACTGTAATACGTTGAGCTTTTTATGATGAGCTTGTATCAACTAACTCTTCATCAAAAACATTTGTGATCGAGATCCGAGATTGAACGGCTATTACATAAACTAATTTATCGATCACAAACCCTTGTTTGCAACAAGGCAATTTCCTAATCAACAATTTCCACGATTTAGAAATGCATCCGTGAGGTGAAAATTATCCTCAACATGTGATTATAAATGAATTTTTAGATTATCTAACACTAAATACTTAAAATGTTATGCTTCTGCTGAGTTGGTTCCTAAAATCGGCACCAAATCATGCTAATTGTGGCACATCTAACAATGCTAGAAATGCACAAGGAAACCCAAAGCAAGAATTTTATTAAACAAAAAATACAAACTTTATTATCTTACTAAAAAGCATCAGCCCATTAATATCAATTACATATGGGAGTTGCACATCAGCAACTTCACAAAAGCAGCATATCAACTATTTATTGAGGGCTGCAAAAGAAGCAAACTTACAGAAAGCGGCACTTATTTCAATGCGCAACATGTCAATAGACATAATATGTAATATAAAGCAATCCTACATTGGTATTTACAGTAATTCAGGGTGAGGATTTTAGGGGGAAGCATTTGCCTGCATGAATTTGGCGTTTAATATATGAAGAGAAGAGGCTAAAGCAGTAATAATTTGGCTGATGACATACCTACAGTCCATTTTATGCAAGACCAGACCTCTTTTTATAGATCTCATTGGCATGAGCAACAGGCACATAAACCATATCGGTTAATGTGCTGTTTGATTGTCCGTAGAATACATAAACAAATACCCCAATCAGCAACCATACAGACACTCGTAACCAGGTGTCGACACTGCAAATGGAAAATTAGCACATGTTAATATAAACTAAACTCTTTCTCTTCTAATTCATAATAAAGATTACCACGAATGAGGTATTTGATTATCACTCACCCAAGATTTACAAGCAAGTAAGAGTTTATAAGGATGCAACAGACTGGCAGAAAAGGAACAAATGGGCAAATGAAACCTGTGGGAGTTTTTTAATTCGACATTCAGGTTAGAAGATAATAATTTGGGGCACAATGAAGAAAATGGCTGGTAAATTCTTAAGCATTACCTCCTGTGTGCCCAAAGCTATGTCGGCCATCATCTTGCTCGATCCAGGAAATCACAAGTAGGCCGGCTAGAAAGAGTAAAGCCCCAAAAATACATGCTGAATAGACCAGATATCTAAAAATAGGTGGAACAAGTAAAAAATATAGATCAGAATTATATTTCAAAGAAGTTGTTTTACTGGAATATGATGAGATAAACTAAAGCCCAGTCTTTTGGAAAATGAAATTTCAAATCCTACTATGTTAACTTAACACAATGTAAAAAGCCATTAGAAATGAAGCATAGTTGGAAACAAGTCTGATGTTCTTTCAGGAAAAATGCAGACGATAACAGGTCTCAAATCACAACTTACTGAGGAAAGCTAGTTGTTGATACTGATGTAGCGAGAATAAAAACTCCTATGCACACTGATGCTATACTCCAAGAAGCATGCTTGCGCCTTTTAAGTTCATTAATTTTGTCTACACCATTCAAATGAACAATCATAAATATTTCAAAAAAAAAAAAAAAACAAAAGTTTCGGTTATGAAATGTCATCCAAAACAATCAGAACACTAATAGTGCAGTAGAATTGTATATTAATAGGGGTATTTAGTCTCTTTGTGAAGTTTTCGTAATACATTTTTAGACTGAAAGCCTTGTTCAGAATAAATACCCATTGATCAGAAACGAAGAATAAGTAAACTGAGCTGACTATGAAGAAGTAAGAAGGTATTACATAGATTACTGTCCTTCCTGATAAGAGGATAATATATAGAACTTTCATCACCAGAGCTTCGCTTCTCATTATTATCAACTCCAACAAAATCTTTCGAAAACTCCGGATCTTTCTCTTCACTATTATAATGAAAAGATAATGAGTCATATGATTCATGGAGGGATGATGGAAGAGGTATCTCATCAGGTGGAACATATCGAAGTATCAAGATTGAAATTGCGACCATGGTGAATGCTAGGAGTGTTCCAACACTAACCTGCATAAAAGAAAGCAATAATAATGATATTTCTATGGCAAAAAGTTTAATCAAATGAATCTATAATTCCTATTGAATTTGTACCATTCCAGACAACTGGGAAACATCCATGAAGAAAGCTAAGACAGCTGCGCTGACCCCAGTAACAACCGTACCCTTGACTGGAACTTGAGTGCGCTTGTTGACGTCAGAAAAGAAAGAAGGCAACAACCCATCTCTTGCCATTGCCATAAGTATTCTTGGCTGAAACGAGGACGGAAATAGAGTTCAAGTGAACAAGTTTCAATTGTTGATTGTAACAAACAAATAATCGACAATTTTGCAACAATAACAAAAACAAGCCTTTATCCCACTAAGTGGGGTTGGCTACAGGAATCCTTTTTCTCCATTGCATCCTATTGAGTGTCATATTTTCATTTAATTGTCATAAATTAAGATCATTTTTTATACAATATGCCCAAGTCTTTCAAGGTCCACCCTGCCTCTCTTAACCTAAGTTGAATCTAAAACATCTACTCTCCTAATCGGAACTCTCCTAATCTACTCTCCTAATCGGATCATCAGATGATCGAAGTTTAATGTGACCAAACCATCTAAGATGACTCTCTCTAATTTTATCTGTCACTAAAGCTGCACCAACTCTATCACGGATATATTCATTTAACATTTTGTCTTTAAGTTTCAAGCAACTCATCCACCTAAGCATTCTCATCTCGACAACACTTAAATTGGTTTTATGCTTCCCTTTTAAAAGCCAGCATTCTGCGCCATAGAGCATTGCAAGTTTCACCACAATCTTATAAAATTTTCCTTTGAGTAAAAGCGGCACTTTCTATCACACAATAGATCATTTTGCATAGAGGAAAAACTCTTTATTTTAAAATAGTTGATTGACCAAATTGCTGAGCAATAATATCTCTGTTTCCTTACATACTACTAAGCATATCATTAATCGTGTTAAAAAGGGAGAATAAACCAGCCACACATGGAGAAGAAAGGTTACTAAATTCAAATTTATAAACTTAATTGTGAATATGGATATTCAACTTAGCTCCAAATAGGCCAACTGACGCAAGCTAGAGAAGCATTTTTAGTATTTATAGCAATAACAACAAAAGCACCAATAAATCGAAAATGAGGGAGAATAAATAGCATTAAGTGAACAACATCCATAACTAAATTGTCATGCAGAAAGAAATGAAAGTTAGAATAATGAAGTTATATTTATTTAATACAGTTAATTGCATTTGGTCTGACATTTTTTGCTCAAACTCTAAAGATACATGTAGCCTGCTGAGTCATTCACCTATTTGACTGTAACTACCACTGAAATCATGTTGAAGTTGACTCATCACCTCAGAACTAGAAACTTCCCAAAGTTATATATGTCATAGAGAAAGATGACCTTTTATCAATTTGCAGATTAATTGCAATGACATCAACACAAGATACACAACCTTTAGAGAAGATGATTTCGTTATACCATTACATATACTTGCTGAAACTCCACTTACCAACTTTTTTTTTTCTTCGGCATGCTTGAAAGACAAAAATATGGTGAAATAAAAAAAGATAATAATTATTTAGCCTCATCACATTTCTCACTTGTTGCATTGTAAATGGCAAATCAGAGTCAGTTGTTCCATTATAATACCTGAGGAAGAATGGAACCCAATAAAGTTGAGCAAAGAGCAAGGACAGCGCCAGCAGAGACAACATACCTGTGATGAAAACCAACAAAATATGAAATAATCCATGAGGAAGAATAAAAATATTTCGGTAAGTTATAGAATTCCAATATAAGATAGATACATTGCCCAATGCATCCCGTGTTCAGCAAATGCGGACGAAATAGGTGTGTCTGGGTTAATTGCAAAATATGGCACCAGGCCAACCACAACTACGGACACCATCATATACAATAAACAGCATATAGATAGAGCCAAAGCGATTCCTAATGGTAAGTCGTGCTGTGGACTTTTGACCTGTATGAACAGAGAAAAAAACAGTAATGTGAATGAACCAAAACTTGACAAACCAAGTAAGCAAAAAATCATCAAATATTCTGAAGAATGACAATGATAAACCTTCTGAACTTTTATCAACTATTAAAAAGACTTGTGAATAGGCTGAATGATATTATGATTAGATGACATACCTCCTCTGCAGTGCTTGCAACTGAATCAAAACCTATGTAAGCAAAGAAAACTGTCGCTGATCCAGCAAGCATGCCATTTACACCATGTGGAAAGAAGCTGGAAATAAATTAAAGCATATAAAAAAAAGAATGGTGGAGTAATGAGCTCATGAGCATTTTAAAAGCTAAGGCCAAGAATAAGAGTACAGAAACCCTAAATTACCCGCTCGCAACAGTATATCCTACCCAGCCGGATTGGAAACCAATATATCCACCAGCAATGATGACAAATAACATAACACAGACATTTAATGATGTGACAAAAGCCTGTACCGTTGAACTCTGAAAAAATAATTTTCCAATGTTTGTTAATATATATATTAAACGGCACTCCCAAAAAAAATAAAGGGGCATTTACATACATACCACAGATTTTTAATCTATTTACAAATCTAAAATCTAAACTTTCATATTTACATTTACATTTATAATGCTCAAAGCTTTAACATCGCATCAAATTACCACCATTATTAACTTTTTAAAAGTGAAATACACCATTTCATGCATAGATTGATCACACCAAAATGTTATAATTGTAAATATCACACTTTGGGTGTTAGATATGCAAATAAATAAGAATTGTGTGGTATATATGTAATATTTTCCTAAAATAAAATTTGGTACCTCTTTTATTCCTAAGCAAAGAAGGCCAGTTATGATTAGAACAAGAAGAGCAGCACATGGATCAACAACAACATCAAGCCCTGGTATGTGAACCCGTGCTAGGAAAGCAGGCAAGCTATCTGGTCCTCCAAAAAACAAGGCCTAAAATATTGTAAATTTGAGTATGAGTGAATATTTCCAAAACTTAACAACTCCGAATACTGAGGTAATGACACAGTTGAGCAAAATTTAATAAACTGATGCAAAATCTGAAAACATTGATAATTTTGCAGTCCTAGAAAACCACAAAATACATAGCACAAAAACAATGGTGTTATGGAATATCATGGACATTTTATGCGATTTCTAGATCAAATCATCATTCAATAATGAGACAAAAATCTGCAAAATCAGCTGCTATCGAATTTATTACAACTTTATTGATGACCATTAAAAATGTATCAATGTTTGAGCGCTTTGCATAGCAGAGATAAATCCATTCGAGACGAGCAGATAATACTAACTCCTAAAGGCAGTGCTGTCTTTCCGACTTGAAGCTTTCAACAAAACAGCAACCAGTGAATATTTCCTACAGACAACCTACAAAATATCCCCTTATATTTCAAGCAGATTGCGAAGTATGTCTCCAAATTGAGTACAAAAAGATATATCTCACAGATCAGCCAACAGATAATCTGAACAGATGATACTAACTCCTAAAGGCAGTGCTGGCTTTCCGACTTGAAGCTTTCAACAAAACAGCAAACAGTGAATATTTCCTACAGAAAACCTACAAATTATCTCCATTCTATCTCCAGCAAATTGCAAAGTATGTCTCCAAATGATTACAAAAAGATATCTCTCACAAATCAGCCCTTTAAGCTGTTAAAATAGCATACAAAATCTGATGTGTGGTAAAGAAGAAAGCTCCAATTACTGATGCCGAACCAAAAGACCAGCTACTTTAAATCGTTCAACCCAAGTCCAACTACTTTAATTCATTCAAAGTATACAAAAAGTTATGATGCTTTAAAACCGAGAGAGAGAGAGAGAGAGAGAGAGAGAGAGAGAGAGAGAGAGAGAGAGAGAGAGAGAGAGAGAGAGAGAGAGAGAGAGAGAGAGAGAGAGAGAGAGAGAGAGAGAGAGAGAGAGAGAGAGAGAGAGAGAGAGAGAGAGAGAGAGAGAGAGAGAGAGAGAGAGAGAGAGAGAGAGCAGGATTAGAGCACAACTAATCAGCCAACTCTGAAGCAAAATAAACAGGTTATTCAAGAAAAAATATACCTACATTATGCTGAAATGAATACAATCATAATCACATTACCAAATTTGGAGATATCCCACGAGCAACAGCAGAACCACCAATTGTATATTCAAGGATTAAAGCCCAGCCAATCAGCCAAGCAACTCTGAAAAATTATCGCATAATCATCGTCAATCATATAAATCAGTATTATTTATTTGATACATATCCTTGATGAAAAAAAATAGTCTAATTTTAGAGAAGCAAGGATCAAGCCTTACTGAACAAAGCTGTAATGCCGAAATTAAAGAATGACATCTTGACAACAAAAAATATATAAAGATGGTCAAAATTCAACTCAATGAAAAAAAGGGGCCCCATTACCCTTCCCCAACGCATATGTAGGAATAATGATAGGCGCTGCCTGCAGAAGGGCAGCGACTTGCAAGCTCTGCATAACAAAATGCTGAAAGTGCGGCAGCTATTCCAGCGATCAGAAAGGAAATTGTCAAAGATGGACCAGAGTGTTCTCTAGCAACTGTACCAACGAGAACATAGACTCCAGCACCTATTGTGGAGCCAACACCTTACAACAGAGAAAAAAATAAAAATTAAAAAAATAGATTAAACTAATGACAAATGAGAAACAGGAGATTTTCAACATGGTCTCCAATAGAAATTGTGAAAAAACAAAGCAATATTGCAGTGAGCAAGTACAATGAAAAGTAGCCTTAGTTTGAAACCAAAAAACAATTTGAAAAGAAAATTGGAGTGTTCAAAGAACTAAAAAATGAGCATCACATCAATAAGTAAGGTACAAGTGCAGCTAAGGATATAACCTAGCAAGTTGAATTTGAGTCGACCATGATCCTAACTCGATTCAATATAATAAGTTATGGTTCCAACTGGAGCTTGAGCTTGACTCAATTAGCTCACTCTAAGCTTGGGTTGACTTGATAACTTGAGCACAATCAACAATTCAACTCAGTTAACCATTCCTGGTATGGCTTTGATAGATTAAAGTATAGACTTCTTATATTAAATGTAAGGCAGGATTTTAATTCTTTTTAACAAAATAACAATACAAGCTAGCTCAACAAGGAGTCATGTTGAGTCAAATAGAGCTCATCTATCATATGAGTTCCACCTATGTGCATGAGCCAAGCTTGAACCAGCTCAACTAAATTAAAAAACTAAGTGTAATTGAAGTTTTAATTGACATATGCAGATGGGTAGAATTATCGTGATTAAAAATTATTTAAATTCCAACAAAAATGACTAAAGCAATGCCACAAAAAAAATAGTATAATTTTGTACGCCAAAAACAAATATAACAACGTTTATTTATTTTGTCGTGTCATATAAAACTGTTAGGAACAAAACCTGACTTGTATGTGTACTTGTAAAACCTAGAATGAATAAAATGAACCACTAAATAAATGTAAATGAAATCAAGTGCCCAAAAAGATAACACAAGATTATGCAAATCGGCTTGAGAAAGCCTGCATTCAAAGAGAGGAGAGATGACCATATCCACTGAAAATAAAGTCATAATTGATGTACAAAAAAGACACTACCAACACTCACTAAAACTCAAATGCACCACTCTCAAGACAGAAGAGAAGCCCAAATCTCTAAACACAAATAAAAGAAAACAACTCGAGAGAGACAATAAAGAAAAATAAGTAAATTAAGACCAGATATTACCAAGTGCAAAGGTTCCTCGGAAGGGTGCCATTACATCACTAATTCTTTCTAAAAATCCAACTCAAGATTTTTGGCAAAACGGTACCCATTGATTCATAGAGATTACACCTTGAACTCTAATAAGAAAGTTTTTTTTTAATTTCTCTTTTCCCCATTCCTTCTCTTTCTTCTTTAAGCCTTTAGCATAAGTATTCTAATCAGATTCCTGATTGGATTTCTTTCGCATTCCATCTTCAAAATTGAATCTCGGCTTGCATGCTAATGTATGTAAATATCCCATCTAATCTCTCCCAAGAATAGAGCAGTCTCAAAGAAGGTTATTTTTAAAATTAAAAAAAGTGAGAATATTATGGCACTAGTTTAGAAAATTAGGATAGCAAACCTTAACCAAAGTCAGATTAGGTTTTGAAGTTAGAATTATCTTAACAAATTCCTATTTAAATTATTCTAAGTTTTTATCTCTTGACACAATAATGTTACAATAAATTGAATCTCATATAAAACTCCACTCCAGCCATAAGCTCCTAAAGCCCCAAAGAGATGAACACAATGCAATCTTGATAAATCGAGATTTCCTTGAACAAAATACTGATGAAAGAATCAAAGCATGTTTGCTGCCCATCATAAAAGATCCACTGAAATTGAAAGTAATTAATATAACACATATCACATAATTTTTGTTCCTTCAAAGTGATTATCTCCTAGCTCTAAACACTGCAATGGTAGAGACTGATACTGGGACAACTATGTTTCATAAGATTGATGTATATAATCATCTCCAACAATCTCTACTTCAAAATGTGCATTATTATGTTACAGAACAACTTCTATAGCTAAAATTGTCAAGCTTGTCCAAATCACAATGCTCCACCAAAATTGAAGAAACCAAATTAAAACAACTCAGGTTGCACCTTCTTAACAATAGAATTAACCAACACTTTTTGCCTCAATAAAAACAAAAGCACCTTTGCAAATCTGAAGGACCTTAACATCTCCAGAAAATATATAGCATGCATCATTGAGAGCACTAAAATATATTAAAATTTTCCTCAAATGAGGTACATATCTGTTCAGGCCAATGTCATAGCCATATTATGTTTACTTAATGTTAAAGTACCAAAATCAATCATCAAGCATGCCATATTGCATCCCATATTAATATAAATACTAAAATATGGATCATAAGTGGAAAAAAACCTACCGGGTAGAACATAATATGAATTAGCTCAACTTAGACTCAACTGACCTTTCTCATAACTCCATTAGTCACTAACATAGCATCATCGATATCTAATTAAAAACAATTTGCAATAAGACTAGCATCTACAGACTTATCCTCATTATGGCAGTTTGCTCCTTCCTCTTCAGAGCATGACAATTTATCGTAAAGTGCTATATCTTCTGGCAGTGGAACCCCATCATATCCTTTTATTTGTCATGAGACTTACCTTTGACATTATTAGAATTGGATACATTCTCTAAAGAACTTCCTCTAACCAATAATCATTTAGCTTGTTATCTCCAACAATTGCAAACTTAATAATCATAGCTTCCAAAATAAATAAATTCTTAATATTTTTTTAGTTGATTGTATATCTTCCATATGACATCGTGCCGAGGTAAAGATTGCAATAGAAACAAAGCCTCCTCAATTCCTCGTCGTCAACGATTACATCAATCATCTTCTAATTTGAATACTAAATGGAACTCATTTAAATGCTATTTAAAAGGTGTGCCTTCTTAAGTGTGAAGTAAATGAAATCTTTGCATCTAATAAAATTTGTTGGAGAGGCTTTTGATCAAGTGCAAAGCTATAAGTCTTCTATAGTTGTTTCCTAAATCCAATACCACACCATTAAAATTATTGTACAGCCAGAAGCAGCTACTTGAATCAACCGTGCACAAATAGCTTTCAGCCCCATTTCGCCACAGCGCAAATTCCACAAGGGATGAGTACGGGAGTTCATAAAGAAGAAGACGAAGCCGAACCACCAAATGCTTGGGCAAAGGTCAGTCAAGGTATTGAGGGTTGAATATCGAGAGCCAATTATGGAAGGCCAAATACTAAAGGTCGGGTACAAAGGTTCTCAAAAGCTAAAAACCTTAGACGTCTATCATTTATCAGTTGACTTCAAAAAGGAGAACTTCGACAATATCTCAACATTTATGATAATTTGACAAAAGAGAAGACTATGTCCTCGTAGGCATTAAAAAAGCCTATAATTTTCATTTAGAGAAGCCAACCTTTATATAAAGGGTATTAAATATAAAAAAACGATTCCGACTCTTTGGGCCATAAAAAATCTCTAATTATTGAAGTCCTACTCATTAACTCAACTATTAAGCCTCTTCGCCCTTATTCTCTCCCTCATTCTCCCTCCTTGTTTACGCTCTATTTCTTGGGTGTGACTTAAAAACAAAAAAGGATTTAGCAATTATATTCGCATATTCAATATTTTTTTCAATTAATTCTAAATTTTGTAGCTAGTAATTATTTTTTCCTTGACTATAATTTTCTACATAAGAAACAAATGTCTCGATGATATAACTTTCATATGAGAAAAAACACACCAAGGCACCTCACTTTGAAAATTTTTTATAAGCATCTTCATAAATAATACAGATAAGTATGGATTCAATATTGATCCTTGATTCAATTCTTATATAGAAGAAAACTCATTGTTCAATTTATAGTTGCTTCTACTACTAAACACAACTTTGTTGCATATATCTTTAATAACTTCAGCATACTTTTAAATCGCATATATTTTTCTCTAATGCACATCAATTCAGCTCTCTTGCTACTTGATCATAACGAAGATCCATCCCAAAGAAGAGAAACTATATGAAAATCCCTTCTGTGCTCCCCATATTTTTCCGTTAATTGTTCTGGCATAAATATAGCTTCCATAATCAAACTTGCAATCAAGATTAACTAGTCCCAAAGTACCAAGTTATTTCCTTAAATCTATACTAAATTACTCTCGTGCATGATTTTATTGTATGATTCATAAATTGGATTCATTTATCATTATCACAATTTTGAGCATTTTCTTTGATTTGCATCATAAATTTGATTTGCAGCTATCATTATCATAACTCCCTATACTTAAATACATAAGCCAAAATGTGTTTTCCACATAATTTAGCATCCACTCAGTTCATTATGTTTTGCTCCCAATCTTATATTTTATTGTATGACTCGTAAATTGGATTCATCTATCATTATCATAATTTTGAGCATTTTCGTTGATTTGCATCCATCATTATCATAACTCCCTATATTTAAATACCTAAGAAAAAATGTTTTTTTGTCAAATAATTTAGCATCCACTCAGTTCATAATGTTTTGCTCCCAATCCTACATTTTATGCAATGTGAAACTTCTACAAATTCATAAATGAAATTGCTACTCATGTCTTGAAGGGATTTGCAGCATAGCCAATCAGAACTTTCCTAACTAAATGATAGGTACTTATAGTAAGAATTATATTTGAGTTCGCTGCAGCACACACTTAAATGGATAGGAATTACTATATTAATGATCGAAAAAGTGCTGAGTTATCCGAAAGAAGTGGGTTCCAACAGGTAACCATCACAGTGATGTTAATAGAAAATGATAAAAGCAAAAGTAACAATTGAAAATATGTAATTGAAAGGTATGGTGAGAAAGGTTGATCTTTTATTTTATTTGTATAAAATGTTAACCACCAGCTCTGTGAAGCCAAAACTTGATGGCAGTTTCAATCAATGTTTTAGTCTTTAGAAAAAAATTTGATTAGAAAACAACAAGCTTATCCGCTGAGCTTGTTGTTAAAAGTCTCTAGGTAAACAACAAGCTCAGCGTAAATTTGATCTATTCATTTACTTTCCATTGAAATCTAACAGTAAATTCATGAGGTGAAAGAGAAAGAAAATAAAATGAATAATTCATGGATTATAGATGTCATCACCTGAAGTATCTCCAAATAACACTCCATGACGATCAAAAAACCAAAAGAAATCATTCAGCCCGCATTTAAAAACCCACCAAAATTAGCACTTCTATAGAATCTCTCTCATCTGAAATCTCTCCCCTCTTTGACTTACGATTGGTGACACCATTTAAACTATGTACCCGTACACCTAGTTCCTCACATGAATATTTCAAGCATATTCCAAAATGTTTACCTCCTCACTATTAACAAAAGGATGGAACTTCTATACAATTTATACACAAAATTGGTACTAGGGTTTTTGTAGGAATTTTTAGCATGAATCATCAAAACTTACCTGCCTTGATACTAAGTGTTTACAGTCAAGCTTATATTTGATTTTGCTATTCAAAAGCTAGGATTGATCCTAAAAATCATATTGATGACCGAAAAGCACTTGATTTATTTCATAAATGAGGCTTTCAACATGTAACTAACACGATGATGCTAGTAGAACATCAACATCATCATCACCATTAACCCCATCATTAATTGCTAATGGACCACAATAAAATCAAAAGTAACGTTTAACATGCATAAAATGGAGGACATGTGCCAACCACTGTACTCATTTGTCAGAAAGGGATAACAACAAGAATAATATCTTAAGAAAATTAATTACTAGTTGCGTTGGCACTTTGTTCTCATTTTTGGTGCAGTTGGCTCCAAGATATTTTGAGATAGTTGAATTTTTCTAAATTCAATATCATTCACAATATGCTACTCGATGATTTTAATATTTTGAGTAGGATAGAGTTGAAATTGTCTTCAGATTCAAGATTTGATAAACAGGCTCTAGTGAATTAGAATTCTTTGATCTTCTAATGTATTTTTGCAGTGATTTGTCCACAGAACGGTGATTTTTAGATACTTGAGCAAAAATATTGCTACTCTCTCAAACAAACATACACTTAATTTCGCACACTCACTGCTCATATGGAGCTCAGGTACTTAAAAAAAATATTGCCGCTCTCTTGACATAAATCATCAACTTAATACTATGTTACTTTAATGGCAATTTCAATCAATGTTTCGGAAATAGATTTGATTGCCAAAGACCAAGTCAGCACAAATAATGGTTCAAACTTTCTGCTGCATTGAAAGCTGATTTTGAGCCCCTCCCCAGATGCAACCAAATGAAAACAATTCTATAATACGGAAACTAACAGTGAAGCAACTGATTTAATAAGAACAACATGATTCAAGCGTATTTGACAAGGATTCCCACCGAACTACTCAATGACAAGCTCTTGCTCAACTAAAAACGAGAAAGAGAAAATTCTTTCAGTAAACTTTCACGGCTATTAATGATAAACCCTCAATTTCAGAGAAATTAAAAAGAAAAGTATGTTGACCTAATCAGATCCAAATGCGACTCGGCATTTCTTTTCATTCACTATAGAACAGATCTACTCATTTTTACTTACCCTTTACATCTAAATGTGAAAATAAAAGTTGGACAAGTAGGGAGAAAAAATTATGAACCATATTATCACCTTACAACCTGCAGTGTCACAGAAAACCACTCATATCCACCAAAATACCAAAAGAAACTCCGTCAGAAACCAATTAAAGCCCCATATAATTACGACATAAACAGATGAGAAATGTGGCGCACTAGAACAGCTCGACCATGAAAAAATCGAACCGAAAACAGAGTTTCGCCGAAAGCTTTACCAGAATGATGAACAAAGAAAGAATCCAATACCTATTGCAACAAGTTGAAGAACAGAAAGTTCCCTGGCAAGCTGGCTCCCTCCCCCCTCGGTTTTCGCCCGATCGGAATCCACCTGCTTCCTCCTAATCAAACTCTGAATCCGCCATCGGCGCTCCTTTCCGCTTCCCAACTCATTAAATCCCATCAAAAACAGAGAATGACGGAGAGGGTAATCTACAGCAAGGGGGAAAAGGGATACACCTCGGTTCCTAGTTCCGTGAAGCAAAGGAAAAGAACGACAATCAAACCCTACCCGCTGAGTGAAGAAGGGGATAAGGAGACTTTTATAGGCAAAAGAATGAGAGCACACAACCTGAGCGGAAAGGCTGATAGAGAGACGAAAAATGGAGAAAGGAAGAACAGGTCGGGATGCAATTTAATACTGTCTTGTAATAGTTTTCTTTTTGGATCTCTCTCTCAATTTCTCTTCAATTTTTCAACCAATCCATATTTCAATGCATCAAATTCAACCAATAATTATATATATATATATATATATATATATATCATTTATTAAGATGCTAAAATTATTAAATAAATTAAGTGTTCATAACTCTTCCTTTTTGTTATTTTATGAAAAAATTGAAACTTATGAGTCAAATGATTTATTGTCTATTTTTATACCATTTTTCTTAATAAAATTTCACATTTTATCATCCACTTGGATGGGTCCTATGAAACAATGAAAATGTGTCCATATATTTATGATATAGTGGTTGAGGGTGCAGTCACTCGCCGTGAGATTACGGGTTCAAATCATTTATATTGCCCTACGGATTTACATTTCCCCAAAAAAATGAAAATGTGTATTAGGAACATCTTTCATAACATTTTTTAATTGAAAAATAAAATTTGGATTAAATATAATCAATGATAAAACTTTTAGTTATAAAATTTATTTTAATATGCATCTTTTATGTAACTAATCAATTAAATTTTTATGATATATTTAATATGCCAATAAAAAAGATTCGTTCGATAAGGCATGAATTTTGATTCATTTTAGATTGGATAGTTTTTTTTTAATTAAATTCAGGTTCATATGACTTTTGATTGTAACAAATTTGTAGTTAAATTGAGATCAATACAATGATATAAAAGGTGATCATATCTAAGTCTGGATGAATCGAATCGAAGCACTTGATGAGTTGTTGAAAACTTTAAAATATTAATTAAGTTGTTGGATAATCTTCAAATCTAACACATTCATATTCAAATCAAGCATCTTGATATGTCTTTTAACATGTTTAATTTTCTTCTCATTTAGCACCTATTTTTGAATGAAATTACACTTTAAAAAATGTTATTTTCATTTTTTTCTTTCAGGTATAACAAGTAGGAAACATAAATCGAATTGGAGCGAAAATGAAGTGAAATGAAGGCAATTAGAGCAAAGAGGCTGCCAGCAAACTGGCACCTGGGCGCCACTTTTGGGCCCCTAAGCACCAGTGTTCTCCCAGAAAACAAAGAAGATAACGCCTAGGCGCAGCAAACAGGTGCTTAGGCCCCAGAACTGCTCGAGGTGGTTTCAAGACTAACCGAGGAGTTATTTGAAGAATATGGACGGTTGGAAAGGCACTTTTTGGCATTTCTGAGTCTATGGATCTATCCAAGATGCCAAGAAGTCATAGATAGGAGTATGGATTGTAAATTTTTACCTTTTCTTTAGAGATTAGAGAGGGAATTTGAGTGTATTTTTGTAAGGAATTTGTATCAGCATTGCAAAGAACAGTAGAAGGTTTGTTAGAGGGATTTGCATCTTAGGGAAAAGTAAAGTATTGTGTTTTTTATTTACTTGTCTCTGTTATAAACAAATATTTGGTGGGTTTGCTTTGATGTAATGAAGATTTTTGTTGTATTAAACATGCTCTGTGAGTAGAATTCATTTGCCCTTCTCTTGTGATGAATAATTTGAATGTGTAGGATGTTAGAATGCTTATAGGATTGATCTTTAAATCTTAAGGTGGCGTTTTTTACATCATGCTTAATTTATCTATCAATCTGATCAGTTGGTATGTTAAATTTTATTGTGAATCTATAATAACTCGAGAGAGTTAAGACTTTAACAACTAGGAAAAACCACATTGCACTAATGAGTGAGGAAAAATTAGTTCATTGGGCAGTGCAAATAGATATGAAAATAGGCTTTGATGGGTGTTAATTGGGGTCTTTGGGGTGACATGATAGAATCATAACCAATTTGATCTAATTTTTAAAAAATTAAAACTAGGTTAGCCAAATTGAGGGTATAAATTGGAGAATATATGGTGACAAGCTAGAGTCATAACCAATGTAATATGAGGTTTAAGGATTTATTACTATGTTAATCAAACTTCTTTATGCACTCGACATAGGGTAAAGAAGATGAATGTTCCTATTTGTTACTAGCTACAATAGCAATTCACAATATTTGATCCTACATTTTACTTATACAATCACAAGAGAAATATAACTTTTATATCTTGATATTCACTGATCCAATTGATCTAGATAGGTTTAACTTAGTCATAGAATCTTAACTTATGAGTAGTTGTTAGGAAAATCAACCTTAATTGGCATTCTAAATTGAGATCTTAGCGTAGTAAACTAGAACTTCTCTTATTGGACTCGTTATCTCGTTCTTTGTGGGATCGACAATCCTAACTCAATAGGGCCCTATATTATTGAAACGATACGCATGCTTGTGTGAGAAACCCCAGTAAGTTATAATACATAATTTTAAAACCTCAACATATTTGCTAGGGAGTAGATCACGTTATTGGTGCCTCTACCAGGACTTATATAAAAAGTGCTATTCCCTGGGGTGGAACACATCTCCACTAGAAAAATCAATGACCTTATTATCGCACAACTATGATGTCATTAAAACATTTAAGCGATAAAAAAGCTCATAGTAATCAAAGGAATTGATATAAACTATTTGTTGAAATATTTTGAGAATTTTGTCAAAATAACCAAAAATAACATTCTCAAAAATAAAGATGAAGCCTCGTAATCCAAATGAGAAGGTCCTTGGTTTATATCAAAAAGAGCTTATATTTCTCTAAAACTTTCCCAACTGTCAATGTGAATAACCAATATCAACAACTATCATTGATTGACTTTCATTGCTTAATTATCAATGCACCAACTCATCATCGCTTAGTTAAGTTATTGTTGATTTACTACCGCTAAAAAATCTTGTAGTATTACATAGATAAAACACAGTGCTTATGTTTTACACCTATAACACATAAACTTCAAATATTACGTATATGACATATTACCTATATATGAAAAGGTCTATTTTATATTTTTCTTAAGTTAAAATAGTTATACTTTTGATATGATACTTGAAAGAGTTGGTATAAATATAGAAAGCATTACTTAGGTATTAGAGATGTAAATATATAAGATTTGTTGGTATGTATGCAAAATGCCCCTTGATGTTTTACTTTGCCGAGCCTAAATGAAAGTTAAGAAATAAGTAAACAATCATAGCATGAATAACATTTATTTAGCTTTAAATCCATTTTATTTAGGAGCATTTGCTTAACTCCACGTGGCTAACAATCACTAGTGAAATTAGGATTATGAATAGCTCCCTCTTATCTACGTTGAAATTTACTTAATCCCAAAAAATAAATAAAGTACGAGTAAGAAGAGATAGACTGAAAGATAAGTGAATAGTAATGAATATTAATACCCTGCGTCTTATTCATGAAATGTTCTCTATATTTATTGAGGAGAGAGTATAACATGATAATGTTATCTTTTTGTTTATGCTTCAATTGAGTCCATACAATGTTGTTTCTGGTATTTTATATTTATGAGTTTATCGTTCATCTGCTCTCTAGCTCGGTTTGCTTAGCCTAATTGGCCTCGAGCAGGCAAGGATCAATTCGGCCTTCGGAGCTTTGTCGGTAGGATCAACTCGATAGGTTGAGCCAGGTCGACGTGAGTCAATCTGCTGATTTTGTCTAGCAATGGATTTTTGATAGCTAATGAGGGACCTCATGACATCTCTAGGACGATTAAAGATGTTGAGGGACTCGAACTTCCCTTGGATCAACTATATCAGGTGTCTCTCTCATTTTTTATCGAATGGTTCATGCTCAAATCATTTAATCATCTTTCTATCCATCTTGTGGCTCGATCAATTTTGGCCTACTTAACCTTGTCTCAGACAACTCCAGGAAGTCAGACAAGTCAGCCTCACGGTTTTCTATCGACGGACCCTCATTTGTCATGATTTTCTATCGACAGAACATCATTTTTCATGTTTTTTTTTTTCTTTCTTGTTGATTGTTGTCGTATTTTTTATGTATACTAATATTAAAATTAAATGTTACCATTCTTCTAACAATAAGGGATGATTTGAGTTCTCAATTCTCTATGGTCAAAGCTAACGTGGCTTTTCTTATCATGAAAGGGAAGCTAGGCTTTTATTGTGGCTTTTTGGATGTCTTTATGCATTTATGTCAAATGAACAATTAAACAATGTCAAGAGCGGATCTGAT